TTGTTTGGGGTGGTGCAGGGGACTAAACCCAGAATTTCTTGCAATAGGTGCTCGGCTACTGGGTTATTTATCCATCCAATATTTTATATTCTTGATGGCCATGTATAACAGCAAAGGGGTAGGAAGATAGCTCAGTGTGCAAGAGTCTTTGCTGCACGAACACGACGATGACCTGAAATCATATCTCTGGAAATGTAAAAAGCAGGTGTGTGTGTGTGTGCTAGGTGGAGATGGGGATTTCTGGGGGCGTGCTGGCTCTAGGCCTAGTTCCAGGTTCTGGGTGAGACCCTATCTCAATGACTAGTAAGAGAGGGGCAGTGCAGGACCCCCAGTGCCCTCTGGCTTTTGCCCATGAGCCCAGGCACACACTATCTACACTTAATAAAAGTTAAAAGCCACAAAGGAGCATGTTTCTGCAGTCTAGCCCGATAATTCAAGTCCTCTAAAATACATGCATCACTAGGATAGCAGACATCTTAAAAACATTTTGAAAATGAACTAACACACTCTACATTACCAAACTCTTTCTCTAAGAGCTGGGCATGCTTGTACTGATGGCTCAACCTTACTCCATAATTCAGATGAAAGATCTGAAATTCATATTGGTTGATTATCTTCACCCAAAGCATTTCTAGACCACAGAGAGCAATTTTACCCCAAGCCTTGTCATCCAACTAAGAAATTCAGACTTTGAGTGGTAAGAAGAAGTCAATGCTGATGGCTCAGGATGATTCCATAAACTATGCCCACCCCCTCCAAAAAAGAAAAAAAGAAAAGAAAAAAGTAACGTTAAAATAGATGTGTCCCTTAGCCGGGTGTTGGTGGCGCACACCTTTAATCCCAGCACTGGGAAGGCAGAGACAGGCAGATCTCTGTGAGTTCGAGGCCAGCCTGGTCTACAGAGTGAGTGCCAGGAGAAGCTCCAAAGCCACAGTGAAACCCTGTCTCGAAAAACAAAAAACAAAACAAAAAAAACCAAAGAAACAAAAAACAGATGTGTCCCAAAATAATAAACAAATAATAAACATCATTAAGTAAGAGATTCCTAGCACCTTAATGTTTCTGCAGGCGATTGGCTATATTGTCATTAAAAGACCAAGCCTTTGTCAGCCTTATACATGAAGAGCTACTCATAGGAGTTAACATCTATAAAACATTTTGGTCTTACACCAGATTTGTTCATGTGGAAATCAGCATCCACGTCCTAAAGTTAGAATTCAGATGTGTCTAACCAAACCTTCCCATTAAAATTTTTACTTGAAAGCCTTGGGGTTTAGGAAGTGTTATTTTCCAAATAAAATGTTTAATTAGTGCCTAATTTAGAAAACCAAAATGGTTGTTTATGGCCCCTGCCTGTCTCAAATTTAAAGAACACGAATGAGGCACGGACTCATTGAAAAATAACAACTGTTAAACAGTTGTACACAACGGTAAAGGGTCTTTCCCCTTCGTGACTACAAAGCCTTCAAGCCTAAGCCCTTTTCAATAGAAACTCTTCTCAACTAAAAGCTTTTAGGAAAGGTGGGCCAGAAAATGAGTGTTTTATATGGAGGAGAAAATGGGGACAAAGTTTTCCACTGCCCCTGCACCTCAAAAGAAAGGAAATTCAGGTAGGATGATTTCAGCAGAGAACACTTCCAATGAAGATTTTTGAGTACTTCAGAAGCTAGTGAAGTCACATAAGTGTTAGTTAGATCTCTGGTCTCCATAGACGATTGCCTATAAAAACCACTCTGCCATTTTCTTGAGTGATATCTAGTATGGAAATGATATGGGGTAATAGATATTAAGTATTTATGACATAGAACATCACACAATTTTAAACTCATCCCATATGTGTTTAGCCCCATCCAATATAAACTCACCCATTCATACACATATAACATGAAATGAGTTTCTAGATGACAGATCAACACGTGTCACTCCTGGGAAACAGAAATGTCACAGCACGTCTATAATGAGTGCTTACACCTTAGAAGACTGGAAGTTGACCAAATGAATTTTTCTGTGATGGACAACCTATTTATAATGGTATCAAACAAAATGTACTACATCACAGGCTAATTTATTATTAAAATTTTTCCCAGGGCCTCAAATGCTGCCTAGAATATTCATGTTATTGCTTCATCATATGTTGCTTCGACTGCTGAACCTTTAAGTGACTTTTCTGATAAATTTATATTCATGTTTGTAACAATTTTCTTAAGATTTGTTTCTGTAAGTAAAATGCCCCCACTGAAAAGGTTGCATTCAAGCTTTTCCCCATCCTGGTGGGACTGTCCTACTATGGTCTCACCCAACATAAGAGTCTGCATAGCTCCCTACATACTGAAAACACTTGCCTAAGGTCTGACTAATGTCCTTTGGGAAAATAAAGCTCGTTGTAGTCCCCTTGTACTTCTCTGAAGCTGATCGGGGGGTATGCTTTAAATGGCTCTCAGCACTTTGAGTGACCGAACTCAATTTACTAGAAATGGATGGTTCTTTATTTGCTTTTACTAGGTCTTGTATCTTAAAAAAAAAAGGAGAGAGAGAGAGAGAGAGAGAGAGAGAGAGAGAGAGAAAGAGAGAAACTTGGCCCACATGTTGCTAAAGCCAAAGCTTAAAATGTAATGAATCAGATATGTTTTGTTTCTGCGGTGTTGAAATGTCTAAGTGTTTGATATCATTTGGATTAAATAACTAGGTAGTGGTGTTAACTTTTCATTTTTCATGTTTTGATGTGGTTTGGCTTTAGCTATGGATGTCTTTCAAAACACCTAACTGATATTGAAGTCATTATTTTTCCCCATCTACACATTTCCCTGGCATTTCAAAATGTATGGTGCTGGATCGAATTATTTTGGGGGGCAAAATTGGCTGTATTTAAATAAGATTTAAAAATACATTTCTTTTGGCATTGTGGAGTTCTTTCCACGATATCCTGCTTAATACATGAGAAAAACACACATCAGATGCTATGTAATGACCTGGAGTCACCTCTCACAGAGAACAAGGTAACTTCTTGAGGTGATAACTTCATTCTGCTTAAAGAGCTAAGCCATACATTTAATTGATACCTAAGCAGGAGGGAATAAAACACTAGGCACCTCGTCTTTAGCTAGTTCTGTCCTTTCACCTAACCCCTCACAAGACAGTCCTGAGATTGCCGAGTATGTGTGCAAACCCATTTTATATTTAGCAAGAAGCCAGTATTTGTAAATATGCAGTTACAAAGCAATAGAGGAGACAGCACAGAACTGAAGCCTTTGCATGCAATTCTCCAGAAGGTAGGTGTGTGTGTGTGTGTGTGTGTGTGTGTGTGTGTGTGTTAGTAGTAGCTTGGCATTTTCTACCATTTTTCAGTTATGCAACCCTTTCACCTGAAGAGGTGGGTGGGTTTGAACTACTTTCATGTTTTTGATGGATCCATTATTATGAACAAGTACCTTTAAAATATAGACTGTTGAGTGCAATAACAAGTGGTTAACCACCAGTAAACAGATTTGGGTGAGAAAAAAGGAAGCCATGAAAGGCCAGTTATTCATGAGTGATTTCACAATATTCTGAACTAGACTGCACACAAAGTTTCTACAAAGAGACAGTTGCAGACAGAAAAAGGACAGCAGTGGCTTCAGTGAACTTATCTGTGCAATGGGACCATAGCATCTATGACCTGTATCCTCCTTACAGCACTTGACAGAAACGCATAGCAAGAGAAACACTGAAGGTCTGGATGTGATCTATTTTAAAGGGAGATTTTGGAAAAAAAAATAGAACAAACAGGATAAAACGACAGCTGAAGTGGTCATGCCTGTGCTGTAATAGGCAATTACAGGGAACCAAAGCGGTTTCCTGATTTAGCATAGTTGCTGTTTATAAAGTGTTTTCTTGATTACATTCTTCTTGAAAATGTCTATTTAAGCAATTCTAGAATTTAAAAAACCCTGAAAATGTGCAGTTAATTATAATTACAATGGGTTTCATAGCAGACACATTTTTTTACCAACTAATGAGCAGAATTTATTACTTACCACTTGTCCTCTAGACAATGGTGCCACAGAAATTAAGGTCACACAGACACTCTATCCTTCCCAAGTAAGAGTCCATTAATATTGTGATGAAGATGTATAGAAATTGACACACAAAAGGCCATTACGTGTTAAGTACTAAGAGGAATGCTTCATTAACATAAGTTGCTGTTTTTTCTTTTTTTCATAGAAAAGCATTTTGAATGGACACTTTAAAAAATCAGTAGTCTTTAATTTTCATGGTTTTATTTAATTTTTTGAGCCTATGAACCTCTACCAGAAATGTATGGCATCACATTCCTCTGAACAAAACTCTACATTATCAGCCTTTAAAAATTCATGCCAAGGATATCTATAAACTTATTTTGTTGTAAAGTATAAATAATGCCACAAATGATTATCACTTAGTATAGAAAGTCTTTGATCACTGGAAACACAGTGAGATGGATGTTTGGGGTCTTTATATTCATAACCCCAAGACACCAAACCTTATTAAAATAGTGACCGTAGGCACATTGCCCCTTTAGATTCTTCCATTTATTTGACAACTTTAAATACATTGGAACTGATCCCTTATTTGCTTTGGCAACCAGACAAGAACTTGTATAGAATTGTAAATGTTACTACACACACACCGTTATTATGCCACCACCAGAGAGAAGAAACTCTAAAAAGTTCTCTCTCTCTCTCTCTCTCTCTCTCTCTCTCTCTCTCTCTCTGTGTGTGTGTGTGTGTGTGTAGTGTGTCTGTCTGTCTGTCTCCTCTCTATGTCTGTCTCTGTGTCTCTGTCTCTGTGTGTGTCTGTCTCCTCTCTATGTCTGTCTGTCTCTCTGTGTCTGTCTGTCTGTCTGTCTGTCTGTCTGTCTGTCTCTCTCTCTCTCTGTCTCTCTCTCTCTCTCTCTCTCTCTCTCACACACACACACACACACACACACACACACACACACACACACACATACACACACACACACACACAACACCAGAACTTACCTGCCCCACAGCTTGCCAGGTAAAATTCATGGAGTGGATATTGACAGGAATGGCTGGCATTCTCTGTTGTGCTTTCCTGAAATCATGTGTGAATGGGGCCATTTTCCCCTCTGAGACAATCAGAATGTCTTCTTCAAATCCTGTAGCGTAAATAATAAACTTATCAAACCAAATGCATTTCGAAGAATCAGGCATTTCATGCAGAAAGCAAAAACCTGAGGGAACCAGTGTAGGTCACGGCTTTCCATAAAGCACCTGCCTTTGGTACCAACGTTAATAGAGCTATTTTCTGTCCTTCGTTGGTAAGGACCGGGCTTGCTAACATACAGACATACACAGTTAGAAAGGAAAAGGCGGACTATGTGTGTGAAGTCAAGATTCGCTAATGTTGGGTTCCTCTCACAACTCTGCAGTCAGGACTAGCGACAGCAGGATCGGAATGTTGGGTCGCCTTTGCCTTTTTTCAGAAAGAAACTCATAAACTTCCCAATGGAAGACACCGATTTTAAAAGGAGGAGCACCCTCGAAGTTAAGTTTTAAAACACACTCGGTGCATGTATGGAGAGACTGGGGACAGACTGGGAAGGTGCATGTGCGGGGTCTTACCTATGAGCACTCTCGCCTGATGGGCGTCGATCCACAGGTACAAGCTCTCCTCTGGCGGCTGCCCCGCATCTGCTCGCAGGAGGAGCAGGCAAGGGAGGATGCTACAGAGCCGGAGCACGAAAGCTGGGACAGCACCTCTCCAGGCCATGCTGCTCAGGACCTTCTCGCTGGTGGTGCAATTCCTGACACGGAGACCCAACCTGCTCTAGTGAAGTTCTCGGGGTTTCTTTTTTCTTTTCTTTCTTTCTTTTTTCTTTTTTTTTTTTTCTTTTGGCTGCAGCTGGCGGGACTGGAGCTGTTCCCACTTAAAACGACTGGGCGTGCAAGCCTCTGGACTCCGGTGTGAGTGAGCTTGGGGAGAGAGCTGGAGAGGAGGGAGCAAGGAGGGAGTAGATGCGCGGCCGCGCAGAAGGAGGGGCGCTGGAGGGAGAGGGGACCGCAGAGACACGATGATGGCAAAGCTGGCGGTGCCAGCACGTCCCGCAGTGCCAGCAGCTTGAGGATCACACGCGGGAGGGAGGAACCGCGGGAACCGCTGGCACGGACGAGCGCTAAGAGCTGGTGAGGCGCGGGCGGCCACCACTAGGGGGCGCTGCGGGGCAGCGTGGGCGGGGCCGCGGTAGCCGGGAGACCAGGCTCGCCCGAGTCAGGTGAATGAAGTGCTGTGCGCTCCGGGTAGTGTGATGGGGACACAACAGAGAAAACGCACCCAAAGAGACTTCGTGATGGTCACTCGATCCTTCTCCCACCAGAAGAGACATGTGTGGGTGCGGGGATGCGGTGAACGGAAAAAGCTGGGCTCGAGTGGCCATCAAGGATGGTTATAACTCGGTCTTCCATCCCCGGGGGTACTTGAACGCACATAGTCCACCTTTTCCTTTCTAACTATGTATGTCTGAGTGCTTGTCTGCAAACTCTGTTTTCTCTAGCTGACAGTTTGCACTTTCCCAGTAGTTAAGTACTGAGACTCCACAGGCTAGTGAGGCTATGGCAGGTGCTAGTCCTCGCAGGGAGTTTTTTCATTTCTGCACTGGACCAATACCCGACAGGTGGCGTGGTTTGAATTCTTGATAACCCTGTTGCACCCAGAATAGTTCCCTAGATCCTGGATGGTAGCTGTGGCTGACTACATTCTA